TACAGTCTTGTGTGCCTATCCGACAAATAGTGCAATCATGTATCGCTGCATCATTATAATCATTATCTGGTCAATTCATATTGGTGCCAACACTGAAAATAGGTCTCTTATCTACTTGCCAATGTCTCTTACGTCTCGTCTTGAATCGAACTTCAGTCGTGAGCGTGACAAGACGTTCAGTTTTACGGAGTTCATTGATTCATCAAATGCATTGTCGTCCGACGCTCATTTGCAACAAGCCGAACTATTCGCTTCGCGTATGGCCTCATTTATTTCCTATTCACCTGAATTCACTTCTCTTATTGGTTATAAACCCAAAATAAAATTATTAGCTGCTGGACCCGTCTCTTCGCCATTTGCCCATGAAGGCGGGGCGTTTATTCCGGCTACAAATGAAATTTGGTTCACAGCTAATCAACTACCTATTCAGAATACTAATGTAAGTAGTGTCAATCTCGAAACGAATCAAATAGAATTGCTCTCCATTCAACCGCCAATTCTAACGCCAAATGGTCTTAATTATTTTGATGATTCAGTCTATATATGTTCGCAAGGCAACCGAACAACATCAGGTGCTATCTATGCTGTCAATCCGACAACACTCGTCAGCCGACTAGTTGTTAATTCATGGTTCGGATTACGGCTCAATTCTCCGAATGATGTTACATTCAGTACAAAGGTTGGCGGAAGAAAATACATGTGGTTTACTGATCCACAAGTTGCTTATCTGCAAGCTTTCGGATCTTCACCACAATTAGGTAGTTTTGTCTATCGTTTTGATTTGACTACATCCGAATTACAACCGGTCATCACAGACCTTATTATACCTAATGGAATTGCTTTTGATCCCAGTGAAACAACATTGTATGTGAGTGACACGGCACTTAATCCAAATGGGCATGGTACTTACATAGTTTATGCTTACGATCTCAACAAACATGGATTGCCGATTAATCGTCGTGTCTTTTCCGTTAGTTCAACAGGTATTCCAGATGGAATTAAAGTGGACAAGGTCGGGCGAGTATGGACAGGCGAAGGTGATGGAATCAATGTACGAGATCATCATGGAACATTGTTAGGTGTGATACTCGGCCGAGATTTATGTCAGAGTGGAGTTATTAGTAATTTTGCTATAATTAACAGTACAGTGATTATTCTGGCACAAGAAAAGCTGTGGCGTTTGGAATTATCAGTTAGTGTGCTGTAACCAACGAACTCCCATGAATATTTCAGTCAATAGCCCTGTATTTTAAAAACATTTCAATAATTAAATCATGTGCCTTTTTTACTACCATGTTCATTTTATTGTATTCATAGATTAAATAAAGAGATTCTTTTTTTTATCAAATTCGTTCATGAAAATTTCAATCCTACATTTATTGTTCTGATTAAAGATACTTATATTCAACACAAAACGGTGTAAGCGTGAAGAGAATATCTAAACACTAACGATCACGTACACTTATATTCCCACACGTACATGCACTTGTACTCGCACATCCATACCCCAAATCACCATCATTTAGACTTGGTTAGAAGCAACTTCGCTGCACTCAGTTGAGTCGACGAAAAAAATAACAGCTTTCGATGATTAAATATCATGCCGAAAGAAATGTTATGTTCGTCGTGCTTCGATAGTTCAATGATTAGAACATTTATTCGAATAACCAGTTGATCAGTCATGAGTTCGATTTTCGGTTGAAGCATATCTTTTCTTTTTCTGTTTGTTCATGGAGAGTCAAAGGAAGTAAAGATTGGTATTGTATGAAATATTTTATAGCTATCCGAGGAACATAATGGACCGCACCAACACACTCACCCCTCGACTTCTTTGTAGTATCCTGCGGAAATGATTCTTTTCTCGTATTTTCCCATTCCATTCTCTGCAGAAACTGGAAATAATATTGAAAATGGGAGTTCTCGAAAAATCATTCTTTAATGTAAATGCTCTGCAAACGTTGCTCGTTCAAAAAAAAATATCGAAGCCAAGAAATATTACATTATTCAGATATTGATTTCGGTATTCTTCCAAAGACTTTCGCACCACTTATTAATTGAAAGAAAAATAACAGGGTGTGGATGTGGGTGTGATGTGTGAGTGCTGAAGATGACACGGTTCACACCCACACCCACGCTCATACCTATACCTTAATAAGACTCGGGTAAGGTCAGGCTTCGGCTCAGCAAGACTGGGGCTTATTGTATCCCGAACTTATTCAGACTCTAGTTTATTGAGGCTTGCGCTCAGTCATGCTCTGGCTGGGCTAGGCGTGGGCTTGCTCAGATTCGAACTCGGTCAGGTTTCAGCTCAGCTATCTTGACGGTGTGGGTGGAGTTTGGGTGGGTGTGTGAGTTCGGTTGAAAGAAGAACAACCACACCCGCATCCACATCCACACACACATCCACATTCATACCCTCATCCCACACCTACACACCTACACCCACACTCTTCAGTTTAGGGACAAAAAGAAAATGATAAATGAACTCGTATTATTGATTATTAATTTATTTAAATACATCATATTGAATAAAAACACTAACACACCAAGCAATGTCTCGCTATCTATGATTCTTAATGTATAACTCTATTTACGCGAACTTCTAGTTCTAAAGAAAAAAGCTTTCAGCGCAATCCCTTCCGGGATTAAAATGTGAAACACGATCCAGCTGCTTTTCCTAATTGCAGGGGAATCTTTTAAATTTATCTATTTTGGAGCACATTTCTAAAATATTGTTTTACCCATTCCTTCAAAACTAGAATCAAAAATTAGTTTATACGTTATAATAAAACGTTTTTGATGCGTGGTCTTTGATCTTATATCAACAGTCCTGTATACTCAATGATTGCTTCTCGGAGTGTTTATGAACATATTAGACGTGTTAGTCATCGTCTGTGAGGAGTATTCTATTAGCAACTAATGCTTAATTATGAGGTGAATAATCAGTCCCAAACTAGCCATTAATTTATTAATTAACTACTTAATTAATTAGTGACTAACCCTAATTAATGAGGTCTTAATTAGTTATTAACCAACTAATTAATAAAATGTCTGTCACGGTCTGTGATGGTTGTTAAGGTGTCTGTCACGTCTATGACACCTCGTTACTAAGGTGTCTATGACAACCGGTTGCTAAGCTGTCTGTCACGGTCTGTGATGTCTGTCACGTCTGTGATAGGCCGTTGCTAAGGACGTCTGTCACGTCTGTGGGGAGCGGGGGCGGGGAGTGGGTCCAAATTTCTACCCTATATACTTCAACACTCCTTTTAGATCGTGTTTCACAAAAATTTAGAGAGTTCAAAATCCAAGCTAAAAAGAAACTAAAAGTGTCAACTATAAATAAAAAATAAACCAAAGTCTCGAATCTGCTATCATCTATTCCAATACTATTCCCAGTCTTCGTCATAACCATCACGATCAGCAGGACCAGCAGGATCAGCAGCGCCACCAAAATGAGCTAAAGAACTACGAGACATTTCAAGAAGACTAGCAAGAGCAGCACGAATGTGAATATCATTAAGAATAATATTATCAACATCAGGTGTAAGACCAGCATCAAGACGATCAGGATCAAGGAAACCATGATTAACAAGCAAAAATGCAGCAAGAAGAGCACGAACACGACCAGTACGAAGAGCAGCACGATTAGGAGCAAGACCAGCACCAGCACCAGTAGCGAAAGAACGAACATGAGCAGCAACAGCATCAGCATCAGCACAAACATCAGTGCAACCCTCAAAAGTACGAGCTATACAATCAGCAGCAAAAGCATCTGCACCAGTAGCAGGATCATACGAATCAAGAGCAGCAAGACCAGCAGCACGAGCAGCATCTCGGGCAGCCTCTTCATCAAGATGATCACGAGCAGCAAGATAAGCACTCTCGGCAGCACGAGCAACAGCATGAGTACGGCCAACATCATAAGGAGCAGAATTAGCATCATGAGCAAGAAGATCATCAAGATAATAAAAAGCATCAGTAGTTGTGTTTTGTAGACTGGATTGTGTTGTATTGCTGTCTAGATCTTGTTTGCCCGCTCCTAGATGAGATTTGAAGAGAGTTATGACATTACTTTAATTAATTCTTTCTCCGAGGCATGCGGTTAAGTAACCGGGTTTAAATTCAGTATCAAATATATAAATTGGAAGAATGGTAGTATCGTGATAGAGAAATCCGATTATTATTGTATATTAATGTTATTCCTTAGAAGTTTTAATCTATCGACATATGTAAATGGTTTAGAATTCATTCAGATGTGTTCGTCTATGCAACGGGTGGCCCAGAATAAATTATACCATTAGTATTTCTAATATTTCTCCTGTGTTTTTCAATGAAAAAAAATAAGCTTTTTTACCAAAAAGAAGCGCTTTAAATTCTGACAATACAGTATATTTCATCTAATGAATATAGTTTCCTCCATTTCTTTTTATTTTACGTAATCTTATAGTAAAATCAAGTATAGAATTTAAAATTTTTTTTTTGTCAACTTTTGTTACGGAACGTTTTATCTCTTCAATCAACGTTGCTTTTGTTGTTATTCGATCCCAATTCATACATTGAGCCAGCTCGTTCCATAAACTGTAATCCAAGGGGCATAAATCAGGTGAATTGGATGGTCAACGCTTCTCGGGGATAAAATCAGGAAAATGCATGGCACACCATTCTTGAGTGAGATGATGTGTGTGAGGTCTAGCACCATCCTGTTGATAAGTCCAATCGCTCCCTAACATTTTATCACCACATCCGAGAGCTATTGGAAGAACTTCATTGATGTAAATCTCTGCATCCATCGTTCCATTTTCCAAAATGACTGGTGTTGTTAAGCCTTCGGCACATGCACCTAACCACACCATCACTTTTTCTGGATATTTGGTCTTCTCACGAAAACAACCTTTTCTATCAGCTTCTTCTCTAATGGCAGCCCACACCCGGCCGTTTTGTGAATTGTATATGCCGTCAAGGTCAAAAAACTTTTCATCTGTGAAAAGGCATTTTTTAGTGTCATCTTTGCTGTAGTTATTTAACACCCGATTAGCAAACTTAATCCTCCTATTTTTTTGAAGATTAGTTAGCTTAGGTTGTTTTGTCTTTTTGTACGACTTATATCCAAGATCTTCACGGAGTATTCGCTGTATACTCGTTCTAGAAATATTCATAGCTTTAGCTAATTTTCGTGTAGACACTCGTTTCTTTTGATTTAGACGGTTTTTAACCTTTACAATAGCGGCCTTTGTACGGACTGTGCGTGGACAGCCTGGAGGAGACGACAGCATGATAGAACCAGTAGTGTTGATCATTCTTATCCATAATTCAATTGTGGGTAATGAAACAGCTCCGGCTAAATCACGATAAATTTTTGCCGGACCATCACCATTTTCATATTTAGTTTTTACAACTTTTTGTATATCTTTACTTTTCATATTTTTTAATATGAAAGTGAAACACTTTTTAGTTTCAACCATACATATTTTTTTAGAGAATTTCAAGCGCCATCTTTTAGTTTAAAAAGATGTCCCGATCTAATGGATAATAGAAGAGTTATACGCAAAATATGAATGGTATAATTTATTCTGGGCCACCCGTTAGAAGGTGTTGTTTCCATAGTCGAAGGAAAAACTTTATTTTATTGATCTTATGGATGTTCACATCTTGAAGACTGTTTGACTGTCTTTAAATAGGATATCTAGAAAATTAGGGTGTGGGTGTGGGTGTGAGTGAGGGTGGGGTGTGGGTGGGGTGTGGGTGGGGTGTGGGTGTGAGGTGTGGGTGTGGATGTGGGATGTGGGATGTGGGGTGTGGATGTGGGATGTGGGATGTGGGATGTGGGGTGTGAGGTGGTTGTGGATGTGGATGTGGATGTGGATGTGGATGTGGGTGTGGGTGTGGGTGGGGTGAGGGTGGGGTGTGGGTGTGGGTGGGGTGTGGGTGTGGGTGTGGGTGTGGGTGTGGGTGTGGGGGGGTGGGGTATGAGTGTGGGTGGGGTATGGATGTGGGTGATAAGACGATATCCACACCCACACCCCACACCATACCCACACCCACCCACACTCACACCCACACCCACCCACACTCACACCCACACCCATCATGGGAAGCAGCTCTTTTTTATTTTTTTGGAAATTTTATCACTATGATATTGGTTGAATGTTGATGAAATAGCATAGAAAAATAGAGCATGGTTTTCGCTATCATTGCATAAAATAGCGCAACCCTGCGAGATTAAAATGTGAAACACGATATAGCAGTTATTACTAATCACCAGAATATTGCCGATGCCATCTATTTTTGAACCCATTTTTTCGTCATCTTTCATGTAATTTTCCAGAACTGCAAAAAGTAAGTTTATGTATTCTCATGGGATATTAGCGATATATGATTTTTAATCGTCTACCGAAAACATCTGTAACGGTCCGTGATGGGGTGGGAGTCCGTCTGTCACGGTCTGCGATGGTCTCTAGAGTCCGTCTGTCGCGGTCTGTGACGGGTCTAAAACCTGTCTGTCATGATCTGTGATAGGCCCAGAGCGTGTCTGTCACAGTCTGTGACGGGTCTAAAACCTGTCTGTCATGATCTGTGATAGGTCCAGAGCGTGTCTGTCACAGTCTGTGACGGGCAGTCAGCGTTGCTAAGGATGTCTCTCACGGCCTGTGATGTCTGTCATGTCTGTGATAAACCGTTGCTAAGGATGTCCGTCATGTCTGTGATAAGCCATTTCTAACGCATCTGTCACGTCTGTGACGACTCATTGCTAAGATGTCTGTCACCTCTGTGCGATTGGGGCTAAGGATGGGTCCGAATTTCTACCTCTATATACTTCAATACTCCTTTTAGATCGTGTTTCACAAAAAAGAAAATTTCTTCACACTTTCTATAGAGAAAAAAAGCTGATAGCATCATTACTTTTGGTATGTCCTACGTATCTCATAAAAATGCGACGAAGTAATAAAGAGACAAAATAATGGCTGGGGCAATGCGGGGCAGGGTTGTGCAAAAAATTTAAGGTCAAGTTGAGGCGAGACGGATAAAGTTTCTTTTTTTTGACGAGGTGAATCGGGGGGAGAAAAAATTCACCCTGTTTCGGGCTCTGATATAAATATGAGATATGAATAATTCTTTCTCTGCGCTAAAAAATAGGAGCCCCTTTAGTCAAAACATGGCGAAGATATTCAAATTTTTCTTTGGCTAATGACTCCCGTGACAGCGTGTACGCTAGAAACTTGATTACCAGGAAAACAGGATGAAAGAGTAATGAGAACGAAATATATCACATCCTCTCAGGAGAATTCAGCGAGAAATTATATTGACTTACTGTTATGTCTCTGATGAAGAGTTACGTAAATTAAGTGTTTGTTTTTGTCTTTGTCAAACTCTATTTGTTCGATCGTAAAGCAAACACCAGGAAGTAGCAGCTCTTCTTCTTCTTCAGGAAAATTTGAAAATGGTTGAAGATTAGCAGTAAAAGCGACACGCACGTTCATAGTAAACAAGACATTCCCAAACATCTCGGCTACTGTGCGATTCCGAGTACATGAAGTGAACGCTTGAAAGGAGTATAACAGTTTGGGATCTTTCGACCAACTGTCTTTGAATGAGGTAATTAAATCATCTGAAAGTTGGGTTCCACGATATAGTATTGTTCCTGGTTTGGTTATCTTGCTGTTGAATGGATTATCCCATAGAAGTAGACTGAACGGACCTAATGTGCGTACTTTACTTCGCCACACTTGTTCGTGCTCTGGGCTTCCTACGAATCGCATAATTGTATTTAATGTCCCGTATAAGAAGCTATTGAATGAATAGAGGCGGGCACAACACTTCCATACTTCTTCAATTCCTGCTTCTTTATTTTCCATTAAGTTCTCTGACAGTTTTTTTGCCTCATGTTGTTTTCCCATCAACTTGCCTTCTTCAATAATACCAAAAGCAGCTTTTTCTACGATCATTGGAACGATTATTTCATTTTTCGAAGGTAATTTTTCTTTTGTAAGATTTAAGTTTTTTACTACTTCTTTGATGAAAGGTGAGATAAATCCGTACTGATTACCAAAAGGAGACTTATGAGCGACAGGATTAGGTAACACTCTTTCTCCTCGAAAACGTTTTTCGTCTCTATTGCACACCACTCTTTTGACGAGTTGTTGTTTGTTGGTGTCATTATTAGAAATTTGGAGTTTATGTTTAAAATCAATATGATAATCATCGAGCATGACATGAGTTTTACCAGCTGTGAACGCTTCTTCGATGATCAGGTTTTCTACATCCGAGTAAAGGCGCCAATCATTCGGTTCGGACTTCGAAAATGGATCTGGATTTGAATTCCACATCCACAGAATGCGAGTGGATAGTGTACTGATTACAGATGCAGCACAAGCCATCAATGCTGTCCAGTAGTATGCCAACTAGTGCAATCTAAATAACAATAATTCGAAACAATTTCATCTTGATGAAATCAATACAGATCTGAATAGCGAAACTCCGAAAGGCCACCAACTCGGTCCAACTGATTGATCCCTGAATTTTTTTCCTAATTGAATTCAACTTGAGGGTTTCGGTGTATAGCTATGATAGTGGGTGTAAATGCGGATGAGGGTATGTGTGATTGTGTGCATAAGAGTTTTTGTTTTGTGGGTGTGCAGATGTAGTTCTGTGTGTCTACTAGTGTTTCCTTCACTTATAGCCACAGCAAGTGCTTTACATACTCCGCACCCACACTCATATGCACAATCAAAAAAAGGTGAAGTGAATTCTATTGGCCTATTTTGCTTCATAAAAGCCTCAACATCTATCAGGAAAGCAAATCACCGAAAGAAAAGAGACGTAAACTAACTTATTACATTATCCTTGTGATATAGTGGCCAAATAAGCCAGAAATAAATTAAGGAAACAATTAAGCTAAACCAATTTATTCAATACTTATGATAAGACGCAGAAAACTATCATCGAAATAAATAGAGCACAATGAAACCAAACAAACCCTATCTATTCGCTTTCCTCCAATAAGATTCCCAAAACTATCGCATGGTGTAGATGTGGATGCAGATGTAGATATAAATTCTACTTATACCGACAGCAACATTCATACCACATGTATTAATTATTAATGTAGTCTTCCTTTATTCTTTAACGATGAGTGACTAAGGAATCCTTGAGAAATCAAGTGATTAGATTTTGGACTTTTTGAAACTTCTCTCTTCTCCCAGATGATCACTTTCCTCTGTTTAAACCGAATCAAAACAGCTGAAGCGTGATTTTTCGGAGTTCCCGTACTCCTATATAGTCACATGAGATCCAAATGGTCCCTTATGCAACTTCGCTAAATTGTGATTTGGAGAAAAAAGCAAAAGAGGAATGACTTTTCATATGCAACTGCTAACTCATAGGGTGAGATTGATATATTTTTTGGGGAGTATAAGTAGAAATTCATTTATACGTTTTTAAAAATTTGCATAAAAAGCTCTGTATTGCGATAGGGTCTTAGTTTCAGATGTCACGACCTAGATTTTGCGTTTCTTCTAGTGGACCGATCATCAGTTGCCCTTGACTATGTTGTCGTTTTCTGAACATGATTTCAAAAAATCATAAAAAATTACAACTGTCTATGTAAAATTCAAAAACGTAGATTAGTTTTTTCCTCGCAAAAATGACGAGTGATAAACGGAATAGCTAACCAAAGAAAAGAGAAGGAAAGTGCTTTTTTTCATTCTATTGCTTCTATAAAATCTCCGACAACTATCGGAATAAGCAAAATAAAAAAAGTGTAAACTAAACTATCTTTCTTCGTTTTACTGTTAGATTTTCTCAGAAAAACGACGAGCAAAGCTTGGAATAACCAACTGAAAAAAAGAAAAGAAAAGTGTTTTTTTTTTCATTTTATTGTTTCTATAAAATCTCCGACAACTATCGGAATAAGTAAAATAAAAAAAGGGTAAACTAAACTATTTTTCTTCGTTCTACTGTTAGATTTTTCTGAGAAAAACGACGAGCAAAACTTGGAATAACCAACTGAAAAAAAGAAAAGGAAAGTGTTGTTTTTCATTTTATTGTTTCTATAAAATCTCCGACAACTATCGGAATAAGTAAAATAAAAAAAAGTGTAAACTAAACTATCTTTCTTCGTTTTACTGTTAGATTTTCTCAGAAAAACGACGAGTAAAGCTTGGAATAACCAACTGAAAAAAGAAAAGGAAAGTGTTGTTTTTCATTTTATTGTTTCTATAAAATCTCCGACAACTATCGGAATAAGTAAAATAAAAAAAGTGTAAACTAAACTAGGGTGTGGGTGTAGATGTGCGTGTGGATGTGCGTGTGGGTATGGGGTGTGACTAGAAAGCACAGTTGCAGCCACAGCCACAGCCACACCTAGATAGTTACATCCATACACTGTAAAAAAAAAGAGTAGAATATCAAATCTTTGCCCTAT